CAAATGGGCATCAAGTATTAAGTCATTATGTATGTTATCTTGATGTCAGTGGCAGGCCAGTAGATGCATTTCTAGATGTTCAAGTTACAGAAGACACATCGGCTGCATCTGTGACAACCCATATCTTAGAAGAGTTAAATGCTTGTCAATTGGACCCCAGATGGCTGCTTGTGCGTTTGATGGAGCTGCAAACTTTTCTGGAAGACATGGTGAAGTACAAGCTTTTCTCGGAGAAAAGTGTAATTCTAATCTCTCCTATACACACACTGTAGAGGCCATCTCCAGACTCTTCAAAAGACATTTAAAAAAAGCTATAAATTTAATGTCTTCATTATATTTTTTTTCCAGCAAGAGTCCAAAAAGACTGAATATCTTGGAAAATATAGAAGATATACTGGGACTGAAGTTCAAATTAGTCCAACCTGGGAAAACCCACTGGCTCTCTCACAAGCGATCCTTGGCTGTTGTCTTAAAATTACTCCAGCGATTATTACTGGCTTTGGAAAGCATCTACCAAGATGGGATGGATCTAAGTAGTGAGGCTGGTGGATTACTTTTGCTACTACATTCAGAGAAGACTATTGCCATTCTCTCTCTCTCGTAAGTCTACTGTTGAAACCACTTGGGTCATTAAACAATGCCATCCAGGCATCTGCTACAACAGTAGTAGATCTTTGTCCAGCAATAGAAGCTACATTTGAATCAGAGAACTATCCATTGAAAAAGTACTGGAAGAAGCAAAGACTTCAGTCCAGAAGTCGACTAAAAGATTCAATATAAATGTCTTCATAAGCAAAGAGGACAAGAAGTGTTTGTTAAGACAACTGAAAAAGTACACAGACTGGATTCTTAAAAATCTACAACAGCAACTTCTAGATTCTACTCAACCTCTACGTAGCTTTTGCAGATCCCTGTCCTATAAAACACCGACAGGTGAGTGGAGTGAGGCACTACCAGCAATGGGGCTGCCATGTGCTCAGGACAGAATAGAGAATTTGAACACAGAGTGGAATATCATAGGATGGATGAATGAAGATTTGACTTCAACTTCTTTTTTTTATCATCACTAGTGGCTCAACTCGATCTTTGTGCTATGTTTCCTAGGATGAAAGTAGTAGGAATTCAACTCTTGCTACTCCAAGTCACAACAGCTGCAGTTGAGCGTTCTTTTTCATCACTGAATAGAATTTTGTGTTCTGAAAGAAGTCACCTTCTGCCTGATAATGTGAATGAACTATTGAGCATATCAATTGAAGGAATGGACACATGAGAAGCCATCAAAGATGAACGCATTGCATTCAAGAAGTTCATTAACAGAGTTGTGCAAAATTATAACAAGAAACCAAGAAGGATGTAGATGTAGTGCTTCATAGAAGGCTTGAGTAGCCAACTTTAATTTGTGATGATTTTAAAACATGAGTTAAATCTAATAAAATGGTCATGAAACATTTTTCAGTTTTTACTATGGTGCCATACAGCCCACCTGACGGTCTCACCCCTCATCAGCCACGACCCCGCCCCCTGTAAATTCGAACACCCTCCCCCCCATTTCAAATCCTGGGGAAAACACTGAATAGCTGCTATATTATCGGTCATTTTCAGACAACTGCCAACAGAAATGAAATCCTTCGATTTCAGGAAAGCCAGACGATTTGATTTGGAGAAACAGGGAACAGAACACACCAGGTGGTATATTAATGGACAAATTAAGATGAAGGTGGCATTGAAGTCACTGTATCTGGACATGCCTCCCCTACTTCCTCCCTCTCCATTGTCTGTTCTTGCTCTCTCTTATAGTGACTCTGCCAACACAAACAAAAGAATGTATTCTATCTAGAACACCATCCACTCTCTACTTTTAGCTTGAGTAGTTGGAGACTAGTAACACATGCTTTTCCTTTTCAATTAGTGCTTCTTCCAGGGTTTCTCCCAAATAGCTTGCTCCCCCAAATCTTGGTCAATACCAGGATTTGTTAAGCAGGTGAATCCTCTTCCTGGGGTTCTTAATTAAAAACCCACTAGTAGCCATGGAATGCCCTGAAAGAGCAACTCCATCCATGGTGGCATCACAAAGAAGTGATGCTACTCAGGATCTCTTTTTGTCCTTAGTTTTGTCCTCAAGCTTCTTTCATGTGGGTTTATGGAAATAGACAAACAAATCCTGCATGATGGAAATTAATACTTGAAAGTTTTTCCTCAGATATCTGAATGTTTCCATCCCCTGGATTTTCAAGGAAGAATTGAGGGTTTGGGTGGTGATGGCACATCTCATATCAGGGTCTAGGAACTTGCCCAGCAGAGATTATCCTTTGGTATTTTATCATTCTTCAAGACACCTGGATTCAGCCTCCTATTCTTGCTGGGGAATTACTACTTAGCCTGGATTACGTCCTTCATAGCCATTATGAAACTTGAGGGAAATATTTACATTTAGGTTTAGATGGCTCCTGCTGAGCATCTTGTAACTCAAGAGTTGTTGTGATTTTGTTTAATATAGTCTCATAATGTCAAGTTACACTAATATGTAAATATTGTTTTCACTTGCAGTGTGTTGTTTATTGCAGTCAATTTTGTATCAACACACACAATCCCAAAACAGAAAATATTCTGGAGACCTCACTAGTTTAGAAAAATCTTTAAACTTTAAAGTCCAAAACATAGAAAGAGTTAAATGCCGCAAGCCAGCTGATTGCCCCGGGCAGGAGGGAAGGGGGAGGAGCGAGGACTTGGCGCACCTCCCTCCTGCCAGCAGCAATGAGCTGGCTTGCAGCATTTAGAAGGGGGGGGGGGCAGGAGGAGGAGGAGGAGCCAGGATGCAGCATGGGAAGTAAAGGGGGAGGAGGTGGGGTAGGGAGAAGAGGCGGGTCAAGGGTGGAGGTTTAGGAGAAGGGGTGGGGTGGGAAGGCTGAGGGTTGAGCCTCCCGCCCCTGGTGCTTGCAGAGTAGGGGAAGTTGCCCTGGAACCTAACCCCCCCATTTACATTAATTCGTATGGGGAAATTGAATTAGCTTAACATCGTTTCACTTAAAGTTGCATTTTTCAGGAACATAACTACAACATTAAGTGAGGAGTTACTGTACAACTGTGCGTGTACTTGGGGGAATGCCCACCAGACAGTACGCAATCAGCCTGAATGGGCCATTTAAGAAGGACAATAGAATTTGAAGATACTAATCGCCCACCTTCCTGAGAAGATTCCTGGGTTGTTGCTTTGACACTGCAGGGTCATGTGAGGATGTCAGCTGGTACGGAGTACCACCTTGGACACTGCTGGTATTTTCCCACTGGAAACAAAGGATTCCCGCCTTACGTAAATCCTACTTAAGGTTAGGAAGTGAGTCAATCAAGGCTCTTCTCTATTGCCTCCCTGCCCAAGAAGGAAGACTGCTGAAAGCACCTGAAGAAACAAAGGAACTAAGCTGGGGAAAAGCAAGGACTGAGTCCAGGCTGAGACAGGGGTCTAGCCTGTGTAGAGAAATAACTGAAACTCTAAGCTGCAGAAACTCTGTAACCTGCCTAAAACAACATTTAGGGTGAGAAATTACTATTTGTAACATGTTTCTTTAGTAAATTAAGCTTAGGTTGCGTGTTTTGTTTTATTTGATCAGTAATCTGCTTTGTTCTGTTTGCTATCCCTTATAATCACTTAAAATTTACCTTTTGTAGTCAAACTTATTTTTTATTTCAAAATGCAGTTTTATTTCAAAACCCACATCTTGGGGACAAAAAGCTGTGCATATATCCCTCCACATTCAATTTTTATGAGCTTATGCTGTACAGATCTCTCTATACAGCGCAAGACAATATAATTTGGGGTTTACGCTCCAGAGGGTGTGCACTCAGGAGAGCTGGGCATTCCCCTAGCTCAGCCCTCCCACAGAGAGCTAATCGCAGACTTTGTGTGATTCCGCAGCTGGGTGTGTTTCTACCTCGGTGTGTGCTGGACAGTGGCTTGAGAGCCTGATATAGCAGCGACGGGGGAGGGGGCGAAATCCAGGTGGTGGGCTCAGTGGGACCCCAGCACATCAGGTGGTACCCCAGAAAGGGGTGCACTACAGGGTTTCTTGAACCCTCTCCTGAAATTTATGGTATTGGACACTTTGAAAAACAGGATACTGGACTAGATGGACTACTGGTTTGATCCCATATGAAGATTTCCATGTTCTCTTGTCCAATTTGCTCCAACCTATGCATGTTAGTAGGATTGGAGCAACTAACTGAGGTAGAGAGAAGAAGATGAAAAGGAAGTCCTCCAGGGAAAGCCCTAGACATAGCAAAACTTTGGCCAGGAGACTTAAACATCGGCCTATGTTTGTTACACTTATCTGAGGTACCAATAAAGCAAACCCAAGAAGGCAATACATTTGGACTGTATATAAATTTCACCATAGTCCATTCAGAACAGACTGGGAATTTCACCGAGTTAGAAGGGAAGTTTTGTTTGTTTGTTAATACAGTGGAGAATGGAATTATTCTCTCAACAATGAACCAAAACTGGAGGGATGGGCCATATACACTACATTTCTAAACATAGGATTTTGAGACATTATATAGAAACTGAGGTGGAATAAGAAGCTGAAGTACACATAGTGGTTTTGCAATAGAGAAAATAGGTGTGTGTGGTGGTAAGTTTTTTTGTTTGTTTTTCAAGTGTTATATGTGGAATGGTTGCCCATGGAACAGGTACATGATCCCAAAGCCCTATCTGGACAGTGCATCTGGGACTCAAAGAGCAGAAACTCTACTAACAGCAAGATCCAGGCAACACACAAATGTCCTGACAATTCTGCCAATGCAACGTCACTCAAACCTGCAACACTGGGAAAGCAGGATTTGAATCTAAGTCTCTACATTGTACATGGATGGTGCATTACTTACGACTTAAACCTGGACACTGCACTGTAAATTTTTCAGGCAGTGATGGGTAGGGAACGTTAAGTGAATCAGACAACATTCCCCCTTCAAGAAGACAGGCCACTTCCTTACTGAAGAACTCTTACCTTGTTGTAGAACTCTTGTTCTCTGGGACCCCGAGGCGGTGGCTGCAATTGCTTCAAGACTGTGCCATCTGGATGTTGCAGTATACCTAGAAAAACAAACACTTCATTTATAGTTTAATTCTAAAGAATGCAACCATCCGGTCTTTTATTTAATATTTACTAGCTTTAAGAGGTAGCCCAACTGCTCAGTGTAAACTACTCCTACTGTTCTTTACAAAGAACAGCGGAAACTAGCAAACACGGCCCCAAACACCAAGCCCTTAGGAGGGATTAGGGAAAAGGAGAGGAGAAGAGTTCTTGTAGAAAGTATGTTAAGTTACAACATTATTTTTATAGGAAAAAAATTGAAAACTTAACTCTACACAAGTAGTGATGGAAGATCTTTCTGCCTCTTTACTTCCACAACTCCCAGTGCAAGTGATTTTATAGTACTGTACTGGAAGGAAAGAGGCAGAAAGGTCTGGTCAGAAGAAAAAGGTCCAGTGAGAAGAAGCTTGAGAAAAAGGGTCTGGAAGACAAGGGAAAAGTTGAGGTTGTACTGCACTGACTGCACTAAGTTGCACTAGTGCTGATATGCTGAGGGTAGTAATGTCTTATTTCTTTTCATTTCCTTTCTTATGAAGTTTTGTTAGGTATACTGCGTGTGTAGAAACTTTAACTAATACACTAAGTAGTGTTCAGGCATTAATCGTAAAAAATGACTCTTTACAAAGTGACTTTTTTTTTTTTTTTTTCTTTTTTTTTTTTAAAAACAGTATGCCAGGAGTACTGGTCCTTTTGTAGACAAAATATTTCTGAAACCAAATAGTTTTATTGTTCCTGTCACTTTTACAGGAATCTACTGATCCCATAGTTCTGCACAGGAAAATCTAAAGACAACGATTATTGTGCGACCATGTGGAATGCGACCAGATTGGGCCCTTTATGGCAGTACAAGAAGTATTTGCTCACTGTAATGAGAGCTTCAAGAACATGTTTGTTCCACTATCTATAAAGTTTTCACTAAAGGCATTCTAGCTTGTACAATATATTTTGCCATACCCTGATACTTGTAAGCATATCAGCTAAACAGAACTTTAAAAAAAAAAAAAAAAAAAAAAAAAACACCACAATTATAAACTAAAGCAGAAATTACATTCAATTATGGGACATTTTGATAACCATATAGGACTAATAAGAATGCATTGTTATATATTTGCTAATCAAAATAGTTCTCAAATTTATAAATGGTTTTTGTTTTATGACAAATAAGACATCAACATTTTGTACTAATTATTGTTATGCAACTGGCAGCCACGCTAAAAGCTACAAATCCTGCAATAGGAATAATGTTGAAAACAGACAGACAATCTGATGAAGCCCTTTCAAAGTTCTATTTTAACCCTCTCACCTTTACTAATCAAAAGAAATCGAACTTCATTTTTTCCATTATCTGAATAGGGTCTTAACAAGTTAACAGTTCTTAAATTTCTGACCCTATGATTTCTGAGCTAAATCCCAATCACCTACTTTGTCACGAACACAAGAAAACAAGAGCACACTTTAGATCAAAGAGATTTGTTACAGCAATACATACTGATGCATCATGCTGGAATGACGTATTCACAAATATAATTGTTTATCCCAACTCCCTCTAAAACTTTATAAATCAAATATTTTCCTCTCAAAAGCCTTAAATTTTTCCATAATTTCTACCTATTTTTAGCAATTTAGGGGGTTTTATGGTTCTATTTTGCCAAGGAGCATTACAGGACTGTGGCTAGACAAGTTAGTTAAAATACTGGTTTAAAAAAAAAAAAAACAACACACCTACATCAGCAGTGTATGTCTCTCTCTTGAATTCTGTGTTCCAAACAAATTCCAAAACCTGCTAAAGGATAACAGTACCCTACCCACAGGACAAGAAGTCGAGGACCTGGTGAATCATTACCATTTTATACGGGCCTCAGCCATTGGCACTCCAAAAAAATGGCTCCTTCCTTCCCATTGCCCATACAGATCTCCTTGGTTTTCTGACACCCTCTGTTGGATGGAGAGAGATGAGCAGAAACTTAAGTGCAGAGGGCAGAAAACAAAGGCTGATTCAGACAGAGTGAAACACAGCCTCAGCATAGGCTTTGAGGAATTTTTATTACAGGTCAAGAGAACCTTCCTATCAGCCTCCATTGAGGTTGCCAAATCCCACCCCAAGAAGCTATCCAGAGTGGTAAATCATTTTATTCAATGGGCTGGTCTATACTAACGCTCTAAGTCATGCTAGTAACTGAAGTTGACATAACTTAAGTTGACTTACAGCGGTGTCTACACCGCACTGTGTTGACAGGAGACACTCTCCCATCAACATAGCTTCCACCTCTCAGGAAGGTGGAGTACAGACGTCGATGGGAGAGCACTCTGCCACTGACTTAGCGTGTCTTCACCAGACCTGCTAAATCGACATTGCTGCATTGATCGCAACGGTGCCGATTTAGCTGGTAGTGTAGACATGGCCTGAGTGTCTACAACTGCATCAAAGAGCTATCATCCTATTTTACTGAAAAGATCATGCACATTCAGGATGCCTTCTCAAACATGGATCCACTATGCCTGCATCCCCCAACCAACAGCCCACTTGCATTCCCTGAGTTCAATGTATTCACTCCTCAAGTGGTTCCAGACACCTTAAAGAAGACCCAACCCAAGACATAAATCCAACCCAGGCCTTTCTTGTCTTATGAAAGAAAGAGAAAAATGAATAACAAGCGCTACACCTGACCAAAATAGCCAGTGCCCCATTCAAAAAAGGAAACTTCCCTTTTTCTTTCAAACACGTAATTGTCCAACCAACAAGAAACCCACCCTAGATACTTCAGTCCTAGCCAACTATCACACACTGTCAAACCTGTCATTCCTGAGCAAGCTAACCAAAGGCCAACTACAAGCTAATCTAACTGAAGCCAACATTCTAGACCCAGCACAACTGGGTTGTAAGCCAGGACACAAAACTACGGGCTTCTCCCATCGGTGTAGTTAATCCACCTCCTCAAGAGGAAGAAGCAGCTCTCCCATCGACACAGTATTGTCTACACGGCGGAATTAGGTCAGTAAAACTATGTTGCTCTGGGATGGTTAATTTTCATACCACTGAGGAATATTTATATACCAGTATAGGTTTGTAGTGTAGACTTGGCCTAAAACTGCTTTAGTGACACTGACTGATGTTCTCCTGCTGTCAATGGATAGAATACAGACATCCATTCTTATCCTCCTGACCTCTGTGCGGCATTTGACCCTGTTGATCATGAGATACTGTGGTCTCATCTGAGAGAGGAGGCAGGAGTCCAGTGTTAATGCAGTATACTGGTTTGAGAGACAAGGTGGATGAGGTTATATTGTTTAATGCTTTGAGTAACGCCTGGAGGGATATACCCAAACAATAGTGATGGGAAATTCCATCTCCACCACTAGACCCCTCACTTATGCAGTTCCACAAGGATCCTTTTCAACATCTACATACAACCACAAACTAGGTGAGCTGGTCAGATAACGTGGACTCACATGCTAGTGATATGCAGATGACACACAGCTCTACCTATCCTTCACCACATATGACCATGCCGCCACCACCACCAGGCCCGGGTGCCTGGATGAGATCAACTAGCTAAAGCTGAACCCAAGCAAAACAGAAGTGATTCTGGTGGGGAGGGGAAAGTATTTCGAGGAGTTCACAGCCTGGGTGCAGTCTCCAGCGATTCAAGGTTCACATCCAAAAATTGCTCAATTCCATCTAGGAGTACCCTTAGATTCATTACCGATGTCCCGCTCTCACATCACAACAGCCACGAGTAATACTTTCTACCATTTCAGGTTGGCTAGGAGTCCCCATCCCATCGTGGCAGACGAAGACCTGGCCTCACTTATTCACGCCTTAGTCATCACTCAGCTGGACTACAGCAATGCAATATTGCTGGGTATAAAACCTTCAGCACTTAGCAAACTCCAACTAGTACAAAACAATGCAGTGTCTCCCCTCAGCAACACAGGCTACATACCTGTCCTATGCTCTCTACACTACCTTTTCATAGAATTATGGATCAAGTTTAAGGTCTCGGTCCTTATCTTCAAAGCGCTCCATATCCTGGGCCTAGGATACCTAAAAGGCTGTTTAAAGCTCCAGGAAAGAGACTGGCCAACAATTTCGCACCTCTTCTTCTTTCATATGGCTTAAAAACATAAATATCAAAGTTTAGGTTGGCAATCCAATTGATTGCCTCAGGTGATGTGGAGTAGATGGCAGAGATAGTACCAGGATAAGATCATGTAGGACACTGGTTCAAGCGTGCCATAATCTGACGTCCGTTTCCACAGTCACAAGTAGGATCATGGCTCAGTCTCCATGTACAGAGGAAGTAGACATCTGCCATATGATATACATATGCAGTTCAAAGTGGACCATGTTTTCCATGGGAGTGAAAAGCCACTGGTTTCCCCAGTTGGATCCTAGATGAGATGATTGTTTGGGAGATTGGTGTCCTTCCACCTTGCTCATCATTAATCTTTGACAGCAAAAGATTTGGCTTGGAGTGCAAGAGCTTGAAGACTCAGCATTTTGCTGTCAAAGATTAATGATGAGCAAGGTGGAAGGACACCAATCTCCCGAACAAACATCTCATCTAGGATCCAACTGGGGAATCCAGTGGCTTGAATTGGGATTGAACTGGAAATCTCAGTATGTTATTTAAGTCTTCATATATTGGAAGATCCTTGTTCCTTCAAACATGATGGGACTCCAGAAGGATTCACATGTTGTGACAAATTTGGGTTGGGTTGATGTGTACCAGTACAGGAAGCCATGGTTATGGAATTGATTATACTGTGTCCATTGTGATCCACATGGTGATGTTGAGTGTTGACAAGTGATTTGAGAGCGCCATCAATCTGGACAGATGAGCAGTATTCTGCAGTAGAGCAGACAAGGGCTAGTGAAGAGGCCCATAGAGTTTTTGCATCCACTTCCCCGATCATTCCTGAGTTTTTAAATGAGATTTACATGCACCTTTACTTTGTCGTGGGTATTTTTCAGGTACTGGTGGTATGTGATAATTCA